TGACGAAGCTATGCAGGAGCATATGTTCAGTCTTAAAATGCCCAGCAAATTACTGACCAGGCAATAAGTCCAGCACCTATCTCAATCAATAGTCAGTTATGGAAAGATAGGGTTCCAAAGGCCGGATCCCTTGTGAATCAAGTCACGAAAAGTTCAAGAATCGGCAACAGGCCATGGGCCTATTTCTTCAATGCCGACACTTCTATTCTATTCTAACGTAAAATTGGCGGACTTGCGGACCGCGACCTCACGGACACGGATTTGCTATTTACAAAAAGTCGTAGTTGGTAGAACATAGAACATAAGCAATGACCCTTGCTTTCTGATATTTTTTTCATGTTATGTGTAACTTTTCTCTTACACGCTGTCATGCCAAACCATCACGTCCACTGACATTTTATGAGCAAGAACAAAGTGGATTGACTTCCATGCCAAGAGGTCCAAAACTGCAGAAGCTCTCAGGCCCCACGGTCATCCTTGCGGTTGTCCTGTGGCTTTAAGTCCACCCAGCGTGGACATCCGGAAAAGAAGAAGAAGAAGAACATAGAACTTGTGTCTGATTATTGACGGGGTCTGTGGTGTCACTGGTGTGAAAAGATCATTTTAAGTAACGCTTTTGGAACCTACATAAGCTTTAGATAATTATTGTATTGAATGTAGAAAGATGGGAGGGGTGGCTATAAACTTGGGAAAAAACATGAACAACTAGCCTTTCATCTCGGAGTGGGGCATCTGAACCCAAGGGCAAGGGTCAAGGCAAAGAATGAAACTCCTTTTTTTGGAGTCTGTACCGATGACAGGGCAGCTACCAGCTGGCTGAGCTTAGTGATGATGCAAATATACTTAGGGACTCTCAAGCTCAAAACGTGAACCAACCTGATGGTTTCCCAAGCCTTGTCCCTGTCAGTTGTGAGATGAGATGAAAGCTTCTAATAAGTTTGCTGTTGCTGGGGTGCTCAGCCTGCTATTGACAAAACAAAACAGTAATTCAAAAAATGAGCAGTTAACTAACATAGAAAAACTGGAAATGCAACATGATGGGATTGGGCAAATTTTGAAGGGTTTTAATCTCATCCTGGTTCACTAACAGTCTAACCATGGTGGCAGGGAATTATTGTGAGTACTTATGCGTTTGCAAGAGCATCGACCGGTCCGGCTCAGCGGGTCGATGAGGGAGGAGCCGGTTTTGATTTTATCAGATTCAAGGTCTGCTTTGCAGCTTTTATCCTACTCTTCTGGGCACTCATATCGCGAAATTGTCTTCAAGATACAGGAGTTGATGCTTGTCAAGGGACTAGAAAAAGTGGCAATTTGCTGGATCAGAGGACACATCGGGATCCGTGGGAATGACGTGGCAGATAGGGTAGCAAACCTTGCACATTCTAACGACCGCACAGCAAGATCTCAACTGTGCTTCGAGGAGTGGATCTGCACCTTGAATTCACTCACCGTTAAAGAGTGGGCACGCCAATGGTCAGCCGACGTGCAAGAAACAGGAAAGGGGACCTTCCGAAGAAGCTTGGGACCTGAGATATCCTATGTGGACTATGGATCACTACCACGTTCTGTTGAATGCGCTGTGTCACGTCTGCGCCTGGGGCATGCTGGTGTTAACGCTCATCTGGCCAGATTCAACTTGGCCAACTCCAGTAATTGTCCAGAATGTAATGTAGAGGGCACAATCAGACACCTCATCCTGCACTGCACGCTGTTCATCAACCAACGAAGAGAATTCCGCACAAGACTGGAGGGCCTGTCTCTTCCCTGGGAGCTGTCCTCAGTTCTTGGAGGTGGTGATGCCCCAATGAGGAAACGCACTGCTGCCATCCGTCTCTTTGGTCAATATCTGCTTAGCTGCAATGTGGTGATCAGGCTGTGAATAAAAAAGCCTATTTTTAATTTTCTTTTCACAATTTACTGCTACACTGGCTGTGAAAGTGCTAGCTAGGAGGTAAAGAGATCTAGAAGTCAAGTGAAGTGTCCAAAACCCCCAGTTGTGCTCAGGCTGGGAGGTGTGCTACCTGCATACCCGAAGCCTTCAAATCAAATTATAAAAAATAACGTAAAATTGGCGGACTTGCGGACCGCGACCTCACGGACACGGATTTGCTATTTACAAAAAGTCGTAGTTGGTACTTGGTAGAACATAGAAGTTGTGTCTGATTATTGACGGTGTCTGTGGTGTCACTGGTGTGAAAAAATCATTGTAAGTAACGCTTTTGGAACCTACATAAGCTTTAAATAATTATTGTATTCAATGTAGAAAGATAGGAGGGGTGGCTATAAACTTGGGAAAAAACATGAACAACTACTGAAGCTGAACTAGCCTTTCATCTCGGAGTGGGACGTCTGAACCCAAGGGCAAGGGTCAAGGCAAAGAATGAAACTCCTTTTTTTGGAGTCTGTAACGATGACAGGGCAGCTACCAGCTGGCTGAGCTTGGTGATGCTGCAAATATACTTAGGGACTCTCAAGCTCAAAACGTGAACCAACCTGATGGTTTCCCAAGCCTTGTCCCTGGTCCCTGTCAGTTGTGAGATGAGATGAAAGCTTCTAATAAGTTTGCTGTTGCTGGGGTGCTCAGCCTGCTATTGACAAAACAAAACAGTAATTAAAAAAATGAGCAGTTAACTAACCTAACATAAAAAAACTGGAAATGCAACATGATGGGATTGGGCAAATTTTGAAGGGTTTTAATCTTATCCTGGCTCACTAACACTGGACTAGACTTTGTAGACTCACTAGGAGACTGAGTCAGTCAGTGAGTCTGAAAGTACCAGATGAACATCCTAATGGAATCCATTAGGATGTTCATCTGAGAGTGATAGGGTAAATGCACCATATTCCGACAGTGGACCGACACTGTGGGTAATTCCGACACTTCTCAACTTTTTCCTTTCTATTGAGTTTTGTCTTAGTTTCACCGTCTTCCACGCATGCGTAGATGGTTGAAATAGTGACGTCATACTTTTGCAAGCAATATTTCTGCAAAACACTAGGTCTGGTGGGAAAATGTTAAGATCTCCAGAGCAAAAGTCCGCATCACCCAGTGAGAACATCAAAACACGTGTGAAAGTTGATAGTTGACCTTGCTCTACCAAATAGTGATAAACTGTTTGTGTAGAAAGAATATTATGGTTTGAGACTTTTAAATAAGTCTGTGAATATATTAGGAATCCTTTAAGTATACTTATTTGCTGTATTTTTACTTAAAAAATTGTATTTGCTGATTTTAAGTGGTAAATAAATTAATAGATGTTTGATTTAAGAGACGGTTGTAGAATCATAAAAACTAATTCCGACACGGTGTTGGAATTATGACACACAGCCGTGACAGTCGTGTGTCTTATTCCGACACAGCTCACACAGGGTGTCAGAATTCTAGCACCGGGTGTCGGAATTACGAATTACAAATTACAATTCTGAAGCACTGTTGAAATTTGTCTCACAATATGCCACATTTAGTCACACACGTGTTGGAATTCAGTGATATTGTAGATTTGAATTCTAAAGGCTTTTAAATAAATATGGTAACAGTTTGTGACGTTTCATCATTGCTGGCGCAAAGTGTGGTGTTTTGAGAGTGATGTAAACCAATCAGAACTCGAGTTGCGCATACGGTTATCTATTTATAGCCATTTATTTCTTGCTACATCCTTAAGGGGACCAGCTACTCTCTGGAAAACTTCTACAGTTATTATCCAATCATCATGAATTTTCACATTCATACGTAAAATGTAAAAAAATAACATTTTGCTTGTATGAATTGTTTGAAAAAATTGATTGAAAACATGAAATTCATAGAAAACCGCTAAAAAGGGGGTACTTTAGAAAATCTATCTCCTCCTACAAATATCATCCTACAACATTGAGACACATATTCTATTTGTAAAGACCATACCTATAGACTCTAGTGTCACTTTTATCATTTTCCCCTAATGTTTTTTTTTATGCGCGTTTTATCCCATTTTTCTCATTTTTCCCCCCTCCCCCCCTTCTCCCCCATATAAAAAACAAACCAGACAGAAATTCAAAAAATGATCATCAGTTCTATAGGTATGGTCTTTACGAATCGAATGGTATATGTCTCATTGCTGTAGCTTGAAAACTGTAGGAGGAGATAGGTTTGCCATGAGACCAATTGTGGTTTTCACCACGCCCGAAATCTGCCAGGCGGCACGTAAAATGACGTAAAAGAGTCGTAACGTAGCCAACATACCGCAACTAAGCCTTAAAACTAAGTGAGGAAGGCATAGAACGAGTGGCTGCACACCTCTCACCTTGCTGTCATGATAGGCACTGAAAGATCTGGCTGCAGCTGGCAGTATATGAAGTCACGCCCCGTAATTAATGCCTTAGGAATTTGTTAAGGCTGCCCCCCATCGCCCCCCGTTCCATGGGGCGTGGTGAACGTAAAAATGGAGGTAGAAAGATGATTCTGCTACCAATGGATGCGCCAGAAAGTAAGCTTTAAGATGAGTATAAGCACCAGATAATGCCATAATTGGCCGCTTTACGTCAGACGTTCCTTTTTAGTGTGTCCAGCCGTCTAATTAATCCCATAGGCTTCAGTGAAGGGCTCTAAAAACTCCCCCCCTTCGGGGGGCTGTTACGAAATCATTTTTCGACGTAGAGGGATGATTCTGGTACCGTTGGATGCGTCAAAAAGTAAGCTTTAAGATGAGCACAGAAACCAGAAAATGCCAAAATTGAAAATTTTAGGGTAGCCGGTCCCCTTAAGGTGTTGGAATATGGTGTGTTTGCCCTATTTTCTCAATAATTACAATTAGGGGGTTGGCACTTGGCAGGTATGATTTCCTGAGGTATTTGCATTTCAGCAGAGAGCAGGAGAAGTTGGCCTGTGGAATTCTGGATAGGTAATATATTCTCACATCAAAATAAAAAAAATTGATCGAAAAACCTACCTCCTAGCCTCCTACCATGTTAAACCTTCCACCGCAGTGACAATTGATACACTGAGTTCAGAAACTGCTGCACTTCTGAAATCACTTGTAGTTCGAAATCCGAAATTGTGTTGGCAACACCTCCCTTGATTACTTTCATAAGTTGTTTATTGTATCTGACAATTTTTGCAATGAATATGTTCTAAAATGAAAAAATATTATATCAATTTTCGCAGAAATTTTTTGCTATTTTACCAATAAAAAGAAAGTTTTAAAAATAACACAAAATGATGGGATAAACTGCAAATCTTTCACAGCATATGGGCACATTGTGCTGCCATGTAAACATTTGACAAGACGGTGTCACACACTTTGTTTTGGTTATGTCTGGTTTGATTTCACAATAAATAGATTTGATCCACAATCCACACTGAGATTTAAATGATGGAAAGTTGTTTCAAAATTTAAACATCTATTGATACATATCCAGATATGATTTTTTTCATGTTTTTGCCCTTGCCCTATTATATCAATATTCTCTTAATAACTTCACTTCAATCTTCAAATTCTGCGAGATTTTGTTTCCCATTGCAAGTTTTTGAATTTCTTGTGACTTTTAGAAAATGTTTGTTGTTTTGAACTGGCAACTATATCATTATATAAAACATTGTGCATGTACCATGAGGTGTATTAAATAATTCAATTTAATTTAATAAAAATTGATTTTTAATTTAAAAATTTTAATTAAAATTTTCAAATTAATATATTTTAATAGAATTTAATTCTACAGCATGTACCATGTGGTGTATTAAATAATTAAATTAAATTTAATAAAATTTAATCTTAATTAATTTTTAAAATTTAATTTTAATTAATTTTTAAAATTTAATTTTAATTAATTTTTTAAATTTTAATTTTAATTAATGTTTTAAAATTTAATTTGATTCTACAGTTGCAACCAGTAGAAATGAGCATCATAGGAACGAAAGTAAAATTGTCATTCATACATCTCAAATTGAATAACATTGAATGAATTTGATAGGTGTATTATTAATCAAATTTATATACAGGAATGGAAATGTCGCTTTGATTTTAGAATCTGTTCCTGAATACATTTGTGAAACTACTGTAATACTTACGGTAAATACCATAACCGTAATACTACAGTACTTACATACAGTAATATTACAGTTGCATTGTGGAATTGCAAACCATAATATTACCGCTTGTTGCTGCTTCATACCACCAAAACTAACCTTCCAGAAGTGGCATTGCCGACCATCAAATGCTGGCGCTGGTTAGCTTTCACTGTGTGAACGTGTATGAGATTTTGCTCTTGCGAAATAGCTTTGCGGTGCATCACATTAAGTTCAACTCTTATTGGTGGTGTGATTTGTTATTAATTCATTAATGCTAATTTGTTGTGTTTGACGGAGACAAATTGCTGATGAATTAATATTTAGTCCAATTGAAATCTTGAAGTATTGCAAGATGCAACCTACATTCTTGATTCTTTCAAGTCTAACTTTGATCCCTCTCTATCCCTAGTGATAGGAATCATTATCATTAGGTTTGATAAATGAAAAATATCATTGTTTGATCATACACTAATATTATAATTATAAAGTAATGACTTGAAACTTTTTTATTTTAAGTCAATCATTTGCTTCCAGTTTCTCATACTTATACTTATTGAAAACAATTAACAAGCCCAGACACAAACATGAAATAAATTGGTTCACTGATAGCGCAACAACAGTTAACTTATGAAGAACTAAGAAATATAGGAAAAATTTTCACGGTTCACTGTAGAGTTCAAACTCATTTTCAATTGCTTTATGGCCTCAGAAGTTGTATGTAACTCAACTTATGAGTGCTTCTATCACTTGTGAAGTTATGCTTAACTTTGTTGATGTAACTCAGTGTGGAAATGTTTTAAAGGTACCATATTTTAGAGTTATGCGTACTTAGCGGA